GCATGCCATCACACTGTCTACCTCATCAATTGTCTTCCAACGTCTCACCTAGATAACCAATCCCCATTCCAAAGATTACTTCGAAAATCACCTGATTATAACTCCCTACGGATTTTTGGTTGTTTATGCTATCCATGGCTCAAACCATACTCCAAAAATAAACTTGAATCAAAATCTACCCCATGTGTCTATCTTGGTTTCTCATTATCCCATCACTGTCACCAGTGTTTTGACCCAATTTCTGCAAAGGTGTATTTATCCCGAGATATGCGATTTGTTGAGGATGTATTTCCATTTAAGACATTGTTCGCCAATACTACCATTAAATCAGCTCACCTAGAATGGGCAAAAACAACAATGCCAAGTTCGTCGAACCCCACACCAACACTTCCCATAGTTACTGATCTGCCAACTTCATTAGAAATAGCAGCAAGCACAATTCCAGCTTTCCCATCACCGTCTGCTTCATCTCCAGCCCAGTCCGACGACAACTCAAACTCACAGTCCGTATCCGACAATGCATCAGCAGCGGACGCAACAGATTCACCTCTTACAACTCCTCTCTCTCCAGGTAAATTTTTATCTTCCTCATCTTCAATAATTCCCAATTCCCAGAACCCCCCTCCTATATCTACTGCCCAACGTTTAGAATTACCACACCTCCCTACAAACTCACAAATGCAGATCCCAACCAACACACAAAGCAGTTTGTCTCCTCTCCGTGTCTATCAACGTAGGAACACCATCCCACCAACACCCATGGCTCCTCAACCAACCTGTCCTATTCTAGAGTTGGAACTCGCTCCTTCACCGCCTCAATGTCCGTCTCCTCCTACCTGTGCTGTCACTCGATCCCAAAACAATATCACCAAACCCAAACAGATTTTTGATTACCTAGCCAAATTGAACCCCACTGTCATACCCACTACTGTCAAACAAGCACAAAAGCACCCCGAGTGGCGCTATGTAATGAAACATGAATTTGATGCTTTAATTAAAAATCAGACTTGGGAACTTGTTCCTCCTGAACCCGACCAAAAACATTGTATCCTGCAAGTGGCTTTTCAGGATCAAGAGAAATTCTGATGGGTCCATCGACAGATACAAAGCACGCCTGGTTGCAAAAGGCTTTACTCAAAGGCCGGGCATTGATTTTCATGCCACATTCAGCCCAGTCGTCAAGCCCACCACAATTCGCATCGTCCTCTCTGTGGCACTTCGTCATAACTGGCATCTTCGCCAGTTGGATGTCAATAATGCCTTCCTCCAAGGCAACCTGGACGAGTAAGTGTACATGGCTCAACCTCTGGGGTTTACTAGTGATGACAAACCAATGCATTTATGTCGGCTGCGAAAGGCGATCTATGGCTTGAAACAGGCTCCTCGGGCGTGGTTAATGCCCTCACAGGATATCTTTCATCCATAGGCTTTGTTAAGAGAAAATCTGATGCCTCACTACTAATCAGATATGGTGTAGGTGATACATTGTTTGTCCTCGTCTATGTCGATGATATTATTATCACTGGGAGCAATACTTTAAGTGTCAATCAGGTTGTCACTTCCCTTGCTTCTAAGTTCTCTATTAAAGATTTAGGTAATCTTCACTATTTTCTTGGTGTTGAAGTGATACACAACTCTAACGGTTTAATTCTCACCCAAGCAAATTATGTGAATGAAATCTTAAATGATGAGCTAATGACCGACTGCAAGAGTGTTAACACGCCAATGAGTGCATCTGAGTTACTCACCTTATCTGATGGAACTCACTTGACTGATGCTACACGTTATCGCCGAGTCTTGGGTAGGCTTCAATATCTATCCTTCACTAGACCTGACATAGCCTATGCAGTCAACAAGCTTTCTCAATTCATGAAAGCACCATCAGACCTTCACTGGAAGGCTGTAAAACGTGTTCTTCGATACCTACGTGGTACCATTCAACTCGGCCTACGCGTTACTCCTATTGATGAATTCAATCTACATGTGTACTCTGATGCAGATTGGGTGGGGACATTGTTGACAGAGTTTCTACATCTGGTTACATCTTATTTCTTGGTCACAATCCGATTAGTTGGTCCTCAAAGAAGCAAAATATTGTCTCACGCTCCTCCACTGAGTCTGAATACAGGGCTGTAGCTAATGCACTTTCTGAAACCTTATGGGTCACCAATCTCCTAAATGAGTTGCACTTTCCAGTACATAAGCTACCCACAATTTATTGTGACAATCTTGGAGCCACATTCTTGAGCAAGAATCCTGTTCTCCATAGCCGTGTGAAGCATGCTGCTGTGGACTTTCACTTTGTTCGCCACTATGTTGACATCAAAAGGGTTCGTGTTATTCATGTCCATGGCGCTGATCAAATTGCTGACACTCTCACCAAGGCACTTCCTAAATCTTCTTTTGAGTCTAATTTGTTCAAGTTAGGCTTGGTGACTCATCGCCTAACTTGAGGGGGCGTATTAGAACATCTGGCGTTAGGACATCACTCAGTAGCTTAGTTGTATTAGGATTGCATTACTAATTCAGCAGTTATTATTTATTTAGATTACTTTAGTTCAGTTCGTTTAGGAGTCTTATTATTTTCCCTGTAACTCTATTTAATACCCTGCTGCCTTCATTAATAAAGATACTCTTTTCAGCACACATTCAGTCTTTATAGTCACTGCTAAAAAGGAACATGTTCTCTTCCAAAATTGAGAGAACTACTCCTCCAAGACTACACAATTTTAAGAGTAAATATCTTAAAAGGTCACTCAACTTAGAGAATTTATCTAGTGAAGTCATTAAACTTTGTTTTGTATCAATAAAATCACTCAATTTGTGTATTTCTATCAATAAAATCACTCAACTAAATTTTTCATTAAATTATTTTTTATAACATGTAAACATAAACTCCACAATAAATAAAATTTTAAAAACATTAAAAAAATTATGGACAAACTTAATTAGTTAAACAAATACTCTTATAGTCTTATGATATTATATTACAATAAACAAATATACACTAATACTCAAAACAAATTCACGACGAAGGTCACAAAACTCAACTTTAATTTTCTACTTTTGTCTACGAGTTTTTATTTTTCTATTTTCAGAAAGTTGTGAGCATTTGTTTTTAAAAAAATTATGCTCTGTTTACAGCGAATTTCAGAATGCATCACATTGGTGGGTATTTTCCAAAAAAAAAAGTGAGTATTGAACTTCTATTTTGTTTAGTTTTTAATGTTTTTTCTATAAATATATTTGTGGAACACTTTAATAAATAATTATTGAATAATAATTATATCATATCATATTATATTAAATACTAAAAATAAAAAGGTGTTTTAAAAGACATTTTAAGAATGTCTCTCCATTCTCCATAAGTGGTGTTTTACTGCTCCAAACCATTGAAGAATTCAAAAAGACTTGCAACAAATTCAACATAAATTATATGCTACATTCATTTAAAAGGTGATTTTTTAAAGTAAAAAACGTAGTCTAGCTGCTTACATTCATAATTTTGAAAACCCAAAAGTTTCTTCTTATTAAAATCACTTTTAAAAATAATTTTTAATTTTGCTCAACTTAGATGATTGATTTTATTGATACAAATGCATATGTTGAGTGATTTTATTGATACAAATGCATAAATTGAGTGATTTTATTGATATAAAATAAAGTTCAATGATTTTGCTTGATAAATTCTATAAGTTGAGTGACCTTTTAAGATATTAACTCCAATTTTAAAATGTAAAAAGGCCAACAGAAAATTCAAAAAGGTAAGTTTCCTACTTCTTGTAGTGTTTCCTTCAAGACTACACAATTTTAAAATGTAAAAAGGCCAATAGAAAATTGAAAAAGGTAAGTTTCCTATTTCTTGTAGTGTTTATTTAAATTTGGCTTACTATTACTTCTTAAATTTTACAGAGCTTGATATATATATTTTTCCCTTTCTAGACAATTCTATATCGTTTCTTGAATAAATGTTGTTTTTTGCCAAGCTCATACTGTAGAAATGTTATGACAATTGCATTAATTTTATTTATTGATCAAATTTCATGGTAAGAATATATGAATCTTTTATACTCTTTTTCTTTGTTTCCCTCATTCAGTTCATAGAGATGATCCATATTGTAATTGAAGTTTTAATTAATTATTGTAGATATTTTATATTTCAATTTTATAAATATTGCCGAGTTTGTTTGGCCATAACATGATTTTATAAATAAAAGTACAATATTGTGTTTCAGTATGAAGCCACTTTTATTTTTCTTATTCTTTTGGATGCACTAATTTTTGCAGTGCAACGAGCCTGAGAATTTAGCATCACGAGATGTGCAAACTTTGAACTATAGAGAAGATGAAAACAAGTTTTTTTATTTCCTTCTTTGTAGCAGTACTCTTAACTAAAGTTGATCACTTATTCTGTTTTGCAAATAAAGTTTTATATACCTATTTGAATATAAAAAGTGTTACAAATTTGATGCCTTTGAAGTAGAAAAATTTATGCGAGTAAAGGTTCAATCTATTTTTTTTACATGAGTCGATCGAGAAAGAGAGCTGCCATCAAGCCTTTAAATTGTAATGACGTTGCATAGCTTCAATCAGGATTCATGAGTATTGACATACTAAAATATTTAAATTTTTCTATTCAAATATGTCTTTGTTGTGGTTTGCAATTTTCTATTTCTCTTTTATACATGCTGTAGACATTGAAATTTTGCGGACTGTACAAGACGTGTTCAATTCAAATTGGGACTTTGGAAGGTGTGTTCAGTTTCAATTAGAATTCTTGGTGGCTACTCAACCCTAAACCCTAGTTTATGCCTATATAAAGGGTACTAAATTCCCTTTAAAAGACATCTCAAAATATTCCATAAAACTCTTGGGTAATTTTAAAGATCAAGATCTCGAATATTCCGCAAATTGATAAAGTATTCATATAGAGGTCAAATCTAAATCATCCTAGTTCGAGAAATACGCTACTAACAGCCCTCGTATCATGGATAAATCTTAAGAGAGAAGAATCAAGGGAGGAACAGAATTGTACCTGCTATCTTGATGAATAAAATTATGTTTCTTCAGATTTTATTTGTGTGGTTTATTTATTTTCCATATGTTTAAAATTTGTTGCAAACACATGCATCACATTTTTATTGGCTTGTGGTATATGTACACATCATGCTTAATTGTCTAGCTAAATTTAGTTATGTTATTTGACAAACTCAAACTGTATTTACAATCTTGTCTGAGCTTGTATGTTTCAAATGAAATTTTGTGTAACTTACTATTTACCAATATTAGTGTTTCTTATATTACTTTAAAAAATTTGTATCGATGCATGGGATACACGTGCAAAGCACGTGTTTAGAAACTAGTATCTTAAATACACGAAAAGGAAGAACTCTATACCAGATACATGATTATAATGTAACAATAGTAACAATACTCTACATATAGTGTTGATTATCAAGATTCAGTTTTAATAGTTGAAGATGAAAACGTGATTTATGAGGAGGAAGGAAGTGAGAGAAGGTGGAGCTAATTTGGAATTCTCTAAGAGTAAAGGTTCTCTTCTAAGTTCCAACACATCAATCTCTACCAGGAACAAGAACGTTCAGCATACGCCAAAGTGCATGCTTACGGCTATGCGTATATGATCAATCTCCAGATCAAAGTAAAAACTTGCTTCTGGATATATTACTTCTTTCGTCGTAGCCACTAATTAGTTTCAAAAGGGAAATATATGGAGGATTAAAGGAAAAAGAGACAGCATAGGCATACTCTATAATAACATTTCACTATAACAATCATGTTCTATGTGAAACTGATCGTTATGCTATATTATAACAACACTTCACCATAGAAGCCAAAGTATTGGGATAAACAAGGCAGCTATAGAGACATTTGACTGTACTATTAAAAAGTTACTCCAATACGCTATCGCCTATCGATGCAAAAACGTGAAATTAGCAGTAAATTATCATCAACCACAATCGCTTAATGATATCTGGCACCTTGCTGTCCAAAGATGATAAAGTCAAATGATGCTGATAGAAACACATAACTATAAACTAAGACCTTGTTGCACCAGAGCTGCACTCCATAAATCATCAGCCTAAATTTTATCTTAAATTCAATTCCTACCTAAGTAGGCCTAAATTCCCATTCAAGAAGTTATCCAGTATATAAATTTGAGAATTCTGTTATTTAGAGTTACTGTAAAAAGTACCTGCACCAACTATGGAAATTTCATTCTACATCCTCATCCTCATCCTCATCTTCACTTTCCTTTACTTGCTAAAGAACCATTTCCTTAGAAAATTCCAAAATCTCCCACCAAGTCCCTTTATCTCTTTGCCCATTATAGGTCATCTACATCTATTCAAGAAACCAATTCATAAAACATTAGCCAACATCTCAGAAAAACACGGTCCTTTGCTTTACCTCCGATTTGGATCGCGTCCTGTCCTGCTCGTCTCCTCCCCTTCTCTTGCAGAGGAATGTTTCACCAAAAACGACGTTGTTTTTGCCAACCGTCCGAGGCTTCTTGCTGGAAAACATCTTGGTTACAATTATACCACTCTTCTGTGGGCATCCTATGGCCAACATTGGCGCAACTTAAGAAGGATTGCTACTCATGAAATCTTGTCCACTCTGAGAGTTCAAATGTTTGCTGATATACGTAGAAATGAGGTTCGCACTCTGCTTCAACGACTTGTAAGGGGAAAAACCATTGGTGGAGATCCTAACACAAACGTGGTGGATATGAAAGCGGCTGTATTTGAGATGACACTGAACAACTTGAGGATGATGATTGCTGGGAAGCAATACTATGGTGATTCTGATGAGAAGTTGGAGGCATCTAAAAGGTTTAAAGAGATTGTCACAGAAAGTCTCCAAGTGAGTGGTGCAACAAATATAGGAGATTTTGTGCCGCTTCTTAAATGGATAGGAGTAAACAAACTTGAGGATAAGGTGAAGTTAGTGCAGGAGAAGAGGGATAAATTCATGCAAGATTTGATTGAAGAGCACAAGAACCGCCGAAAAGGATCTCATTGGGAGCAAAAGAATAACACCATGATTGATGTTCTCTTATCCCTCCAAGATTCGGAGCCTGATTATTACACAGATGAAGTGATAAGGGGCATGGGAATGGTCATGTTTACAGCAGGTACTGATACTACAGCTATCACAATGGAATGGGCATTATCACTTCTTCTGAACAATCCCGAGGCACTAAAGAAAGCTCAAAATGAAATCGACACTCACATCGGAGACTCATCAAGATTACTTGATGATTCAGACCTTGCTCAACTCCCTTATCTCCATGGAATCATTAATGAAACTCTCCGAATGTACCCAGCTGCTCCATTACTTGTTCCACACGAGTCCTCGGATGAGTGTATCGTTGGAAGTTTTCATGTACCCCGTGGGACAATGTTGCTAGTGAATGTGTGGGCAATAC